CCTGAAAAATGCAAATTCCAGACTAATCCCAAAATGGAAAGACGCCTAGGCTGACAGCATGAATGGTCTGTGATTCTAAGTTACAAACTTTCCCTTGTGGGGAAATGTGAGCTCGGACCTGTTACCCCTTCTGAACCTGCTTCTCTTCAGGGGCTCTGTCTTACTGAAAGACTCCGCTACCCCTCCAGTGCCCCAAGTGAGAGGATAATAGACTCATTCTTAACTCCTTCTTCCTCATGCCCCCACATCCAATCCTCCAACCCGTCAGTGAGTCCCAGCCATCCTAAATTTCTCCTGAATCCAACTTTTTTTTTTCTACCCCCATTACCACCACTCTTGCACAAGCCTTCAGCACGTCATCTAGATAGACTCCCACAGCCACCCCCTATCCCATCTTCCCCAATGGCAGAGCAATGCTATGTGTCCACAAATCCATTTCATTTTCTCCCTGGGCACATAGAATGACCACATCTCCCAGCTGCCCTTGCAGTTCAGTTGGAAACCACGGAATGTGGGTGACAAGGATGAAATGTCACTTCCAGGCCTTATCGTAAAGCCTATTCTTCAGTGACATGGAGGTCATGGATTGAAAATGGTGGCACCACAAATGGAAGGAGCCGGGATCCCTGAGTCACAATATGGAAGGCTGCCAGGCAAATATCTGATTGGAACTGTAATGTCAGTGAGATGTAAACCTTTTATTGTGTTAAGTCACAATATTAAGAATTGTGTTAACTGAGGGTTGCTCTATGCCCCTCCCCCCCACTCTCACACTCTCTCTCCCGCTAAAAAAAAAAAAGAATTGAGGGTTGCTCTTTGTAGCAGTTGACTTATCCTAACACTCTGCTTCCACTCTTGCCCCTTCCCGTGTCTTCTCTTCCTCTCACAAATGCCAGTGTAATTGAATTACAAAACATACCTGAGCATATCACCATCTACCACTCCCCAAACGTGAACAGATTAAAATTCTTAAATGCTTGCCCTTGACCTTAGGAAAGTTCAAAATTCTTAAGATGGCCTGCAAGGTCTACCCCTGTTGAACTTCCCCATGATCTGTCCCTATTCATTCATTCATTCAGTGAACATATATTGAGCACCGTCTATGTGTCTGTAGCTATAGTAGGGTCTGGGGATGGAGTAGATGCAAGAGAGAAAAGAGGACAATCATTTGGGAAGCTATCATACTTGTCCGGAAAGGAAGTGAGGGCCTGAGCTACAGCGTGTCTCTAGGCTCTAACGCTCCAGCTCTGATGGGACTTAACAGAAGATCCAACCATGGTGTCGGAGTTGGAGATTTCCCTGGAGGGATGTTGATGAGCCAAAGGCTGAAAATGCAAGTTCTAGCTTAGCCCAAAGAGGGAATAGAAGAATTTGAAGACAGATATTTACTTACAATGGACAGCATGAATGAGAAGAGGGGTGGATCCAAGATATTTTAGGAAATACATTTGGCAGGATTCGGGAACTGACTATGGAGAGTGAGAAAAGGCACCTGGGTAGAGTTCCAGAAGGCAGGCTGTGGTGAAAAACAGGTCTGGGGGGAGGTGGTGGGCTTATGCCCGTACACAGTGTGTTGATGACTATAGCTTCGTAGGAGGTTTTGAAATCAAGAAGTCTGAATCCTCCAACTTTGTTCTTCTTTCCCAAGATTGCTCTGGCTATTCTGGGTCCCTTGAATCTCTATACAAAATTGAGGTCACTTGGTCAGTTTCTACAAAGAAGCTACCTGGGATTCTGATCGTGATTACAATGAATTTACAGATCAATTCTGGGAGTATTGCTATGTGAACAATCTTGTCTTCCAACTCATGAACATGGGGTTTTTCCATTTATTTAGGTTTTGAATGGCTTTCAACAATGTGTCATATTTTTCCCCAGATGTTGTACTTTTGTTAAACTTATTATTACTATTTTATTTTGATGCTATTGTAAACGGAATTGTTTAGTTTCATTTTCAAATTGTTCATTGCTAATGTATAGAAATACAACACATTTTTGCATACTGATCTCGTATCCTGCCATTTTACTCACTCATTTATTTCTTCTGGCAGTTTCATCTGGAAATTCCTTGGAATTGGCCATATATAAGATCATGTCATCTGTGAAGACATAGCTTTAGTTCTTCATATTCAGTCTGGATGCTTTTGTTTTTTCTTGCCTAATTGCCCTAGCCAGAACTTTTAGTACAATGATAAATACAAGTGGCACAACTGGGCACCCTCGTCTTGTTCCTGAACTTGGGCGGGGGGGAAAGCTTTCAGTCTTCCACTGAGTGTATTAGCTGCGGGTTTTCCTAAGTGCTCTTTATCAGGTTGAGCAAGTTCCCGTCTGTTCCCAGTTGTGTGTTTTGTTTTGTTTTGTTTTGATCATGAAACGGTCTTGGATTTTATCAAATACTTTTTATGTATCTATTGATGTGGGGTTTGGGGTTTATTTTATTGATATTGTATCCCAGTTCCTTTTTTAAGCTAAAATCTTAGGAGGAGGTTCAAGATACAAAACAGAGTGAGGGGTTGCTCTGGTTGAAGCAGGAAGAGAAGCCTAGGGCTACCACGCTGGCTCCGCCAGCCATTCCCTCCCAAGTAGCCCTGGGTTCCAGAGAAAACTAAGGCAGGGTCCGAAGAAGAAGAGCAAGTGGCCCCCACAGCTCTCATCTAAAACTCCTTGTTGGGCCTGGCTCTGTCAGCTAACTAGGCCCTGACCCTCAGCCTCAGGAGGCCCTGGTTGGCAGGGTTGGCTGATTACAAGTACCCAGCCACTTTATCAGCAGCAGCTCATTAGCATCCTGCAAATTGCATATTTATCCTGGTGTAGGGCTCCAGAGTCAACTCCCCCACTACCCCTCGGGCTGAAGGGGTTGATCTGGGGGCTTTGGAATCCTTCACACTTGCCCTTTCTGACGGTATCTCTCCATTAAACAGTTCAGACCTATGGTTACAGCAAAACCTGTACTTCCAGAACCTTGATTATAATCAACCCAAAATACAGAGGTTCAGTATCTCAAACAGATTGCAGACAGCCCACTGATTACTTTTTGGGAAGACTGATTAAGAAACTTTATTACAGAAAATGAATGCATCCAATGTCCCCAAATACATTTGTGACAGAACAGACACACAGGAGACACAGACAATAGTTGCTACATCACAGCCTTGTTCTTTCCAAAGGCTAAACCATCATTCAAAAATGGGGTGAGGGGGTTGGGAGAGAGGTGGTTAGAGAAAGCAGGTACTGTCCTTTTGATTAAAAAAAAAAAAAAAAAAGGAACAGGTTGGCATTGCGAGATCACATACCGTGGGCCCAGAAATCAAGCTAAGCTGAAGCCTTAGATGGTGACACCATGCTACTTGTAACATCTCCAAGAAGCTACAGAGCATCATTCCATTAAGAGGAGCAACCTTATGCTGGGGTGAAAATGTGGGCCAAGTGGCCTTAACTGAAATCTCTTTAGGACTCCGTCTGCTTAGTCAAAGATCACTCAAGCAGCTCCCTCACTTGTTTAGCACAAAAGTGTTACAACCAGACAGACACCACTTAGCAAGTCCGCGGTCCTTTGGGACTACAAGTTGAGCTTCTCTTCCGTATTTGATGAGGTTGACCAGTTCCCAAATCTTAGCCTGGTACATCGTATGCCAGGCAGCAGCTGGGAGGAAAGTGACAAGGGCATGGCTGAAGCAGAGGGGCAATCCTGGAACAAGTGCCCCTGGGCAAACCTCAGGACCAAGGGTTTTTAAATTCGTGGTCATTTTCCAGAAGAGCTTGAAAAACACATTTAGGACAAATAGTTCTGATGTGAAAAGGAATGGCTATGAATACCGATTAGAGATTGGGCCGATGACCATGACCATGACATACCCATCCAGGACCTGACCGGGTGGGGAGGACACAGCCTGCAGACACGCAAGTTTGCAAATAGTGAATTTTAAGAAAAAGCTGCTTTCTCCTGAGTAAGGTCACTACAACACTCCCGAGTGCTTCCCAGCCTCAAACACACACAGCCGAGTATTCGTGCTGGGCAACAGGAACACTCACCCACAACATAGTGCCCTTCGTTACTGCCGCCAGTTAAGATGGGTCAGCCCTAGAAAGGGTTTTTAATGCCACCACGTACCGCTGTGGCCATCACATCACCCCCTTCCCCAACTGGGACAAAATGTGACACCGTCCACCAACATGAAATAACCACTGAAACACAAACCAAGCTTCTTCGAGTTTAACAACATTTAACAACCCCCTACATTTGCAGCCAATGAGCTCTAACTGTGGGCAGGCCATCCTACGTTTCAAAGGACGCATGTAATGCTTAGAAACAATCGATCCCGTCAGCCTGCCTGCAGTACAGGTGGCCCAAGACGCAGCCTGCAACAGCGACCCCAGCCACCTTCCTTGGGGTGTTCGGTTTCTTTAAGTAGGAAAACAAATGGGTACCGTACCCTACCCCACCACCCTTCCCCTCATTGGGGTCCAGGAGACAGACGCAGCAGCTCAAGACACCTCCTCCGTTGTTGAGCAGAACCAGTGATATTCTGCTACATGTACTGGGGGCAGGGGCGACGAGAAAAGGAAGAAGCCTGAACATTTGATACATCATACCCTTGGGACGTTTTTGCTGGTTAGCGATGAATCTGGCCCCACGGTATGGGGGGGGGGGAGGGTGGTGGTGGGAGGCCAAAAAAAAAAAAAAGAAAAAATTAACCCTACACAGTAGTCAGCTTCAATCGTAACCGCCCACCTTTCTGCACCCCCTTGCCTGGGTCAAGTTATCTTGGCCTCTACATCCGGCAGTTCAGACTTCATCCTAGTGCCCCTCAGACACAAACAAAGTCACGTAGTACCTTCGAGTAGCCTCTTCATCTCTATCCTAAGTAAGCCGGCCACATTAAGAGAAGGTACCAGATGTGCAGGGAGGCTAGTCGCCAAATACATTGGAGTGGGTTGTCAGTAAGACTGCTGTGAGTCAGAAATTTAGACTGTTATAATAGAGAACAGTTTTAAAAATGTAATACTGTTTATTTAACTTCAAAAACATTTCAGCATTCTAAACATACAAAAAAATAACAGAACGTTGCAAATTGTGTTTAGTACAGAAGGTTCTTGAACTTTCATTGATGCAGTGGCTCTTTGCTTTGCTGACAATGAAGAGTTCTACAGTTTGTTTAAAAACAAACAGTTTAAAACTACCGCACTTAACTAAAAAGGATCCAAACACTTCTCATGCCAGCTGACCCCCCCTTTGCCACAGCTAAGAATGGCAGCAGAACGCTAGGTCACTATATACAGAAACAAGACAACCTGAAGCTAAATGGATGCCCACTGCAGTGTCCACAGGTCCAGCCTCACAGTGCACGCCCTGAGCTACAGCCCCTCCAAAAGGCATCTTCCCCACAGCCTCAACGCCAAGCAAGGAGCATCGAGAGTTTGTCTCGGTTGTTTTGTTCTTTTTACAAACTATAGATATGTACAGTTGATAACTCAGGATTTCTAGCCAATAACCATATAGTTAACACCACCTTACAAATTAAAAAAAAAAAATGCCAGAAACATCTTTAAATGCCTTGTCACACCAACAGCAAAGTGCACAGAGTGAGGAGAACACGAGAGCCTTTTCATTTTAAAAATGTTTGGAAATATGTACAACTTTGATACAGTTTCAGGGTGCTCCGGACACCCATGGCCACTTCATGTAAACCACTGACAATTTCTAGAGCACTTTGAGAAACTACAATATGACCATATGACCCAATTGTGTAATTAAACCAAACGAGGGCAACGGACACGCCTCGAAGAAGAGGGGTGGCGGCGGCGGCGCTCCCTACTCTAAGGTATATTCACAAGGAGACAGAGCAACGGTTTTATTTATTCATCCTCCTCCTCCTCCTCCTCCTCCTCCTCCTCCTCCTCGTCGTCTTCATCTTCCTCTTCCACCTTTTTCCGGGCAACTTTGGCGGGACCCTTTGCGCCATCAAACTTTCCTTTAGACTTATAGTCAGCGACATCCTGTAAGGAACAGGGACACATTCCAAATGAACAGACCAGCTCTCCCGCAGCTGTCTGAGCAAAGGGCAGAAACATGCTGTGTCCCCACCTCACAACTGACAGCAAGTGAGTACGACAGGGCTGCTGTCTGAGGCGTTTGGTTCTCGGCGGCTCCAAGTTAAAAGTTAAGGGGTGTTTGACAGGACTACCAAATTCTCCGCCCACGGCACCCCACGGTATCCAACTTTTTAAGCCTGCCTGCAGTTGTCCCAACGACAAAATTCTGCCAGAGAAGCCTGAACACCGGCAACTGCGGCCAGTCTCGTAGGGAGCTAGGCCCTTGCACGCTAGGCTCGCTCCTCGGCCCAGCAAAGCAGCCTTACACCCCCGACCCGCCCACACCCAGGGAGGCTGCCTGCTTGCCCACGCAGCCGAGTAGCCTGGGCACACCCGGGCCCACCTCACCTTCTCGTACTTCTCCTTCAGCTTCGCTGCCTTATTGTTGTAAGGCTGCTTTTCACTGTCACTTAAGTTATTCCACATTTCACCCAGCTTCTTGGCCACATCTCCAATAGAGATACCAGGGTTTGTAGACTTGATCTTGGGACGGAATTCTGAACAGAACAGGAAGAATCCAGACCTTCGGGGAGAGAATTGTATAAATGAGATGAGAGCCTGAAAAAATGTGAGCTTAAGCCCAAATCCCCTGTTCCTCACATACTTCCTACCGCTATGACTCCTCCCTCATGCGAAGAAACGTGTGCTACCACACGCAATGTCACAAAGTTGTAGGTTCTAGAATGTTTAAGATGCTTCAGAAATACATCGTTACTTTCTCAGGCTCTCAGTTACTGGAGAAGGGGGAGAAAAACATACCTAAGGCCCCTGACACCCAGAACTGGGATGCCTCGCTCCCAACGGAAAGGCCAACAGGCCAGCACCACAAACACACGGCTCACAAATACCTCAGCCTTAACATCGGATTTCCCTGGCACAGCATCTTAAAGCTCTAAGTATAGAATGCGTTGCAGGGTATCTTGACATTTTTAGATAACATGTCCTCTTAAAAATCCTTCAAGTAGAAGGAAAGCTCTTAGCTGTTATCCTGAACCCTACGGTCACTTACGGTGGCCTTTTGGGGGCATTAGGGTCCTTCTTCTTCTTGCCTCCCTTAGCTGGTCCATAATCCTTCATTTCCCGATCATAGCGCACTTTATCTGCCTTTGCCATTTCATCAAATTTAGACTTCTCTTTCCCAGACATTGTCTGCAAAGAACAGGACCTGTTAAATTCCTCGGAGCAGAGAGCAGGACTTAAAACCCTTGTCCAGCTTTAAAAAATAAAAGCACACACACAATTCTAAAGGCAGGCAAGAGGAGCCTAAGAGGAAGAAAAGAGCCACCTGGGGCTACTCGGAAGGTGAGCAACCCTGTGTGTGAAATCCAACTAAGGCGAGCGTGAAGGACACAAAAGAAAAGTACCTTCCACCTCTCAGAGCACTTCTTGGAAAATTCTGCAAAATTGACAGGGACCTCTGGGTTTTTCTTCTTATGTTCCTCTCTGCACGTCTGCACAAAGAAGGCATAAGCAGACATCTTGCCCTTTGGTTTCTTGGGATCACCTTTAGCCATCCTGACTGTGATGGATGAAGGAAGAGAGACAAAGAAAAACAAATACAATGACTAGAACAGATCTACAAGATACACCAAAGGCAGGGCAAAATCCAAATTAAGGTCACCGTTAGGAAGCAGCCCCCCGCCCAATGCCTGATGCCACTGGCCCGTTGAAGGCAGAGTGGGGAGGAAATCAGCTTCACTGTCGCTTGTCATTTAACTTTTGACCAGCATGAAGCGCGCTGGTTTGCGAGTTACTTCTCCGAGAGAGCGAGAGCGATCAAGTTCTCCAAATGGAACCGACCCAAGTGGGGTGGCTCAGCGCTACATTCCGATTCAGAGCTACTACGTTTTGGAAACTACAACCACAAAGTGGGAAGGACGCGGGGAGGACACAGTTGTAGGGGTGCAGGCGGATGACAGAAGCTTGGGAGATCAATGACTTAAGGCTAGCTGTCAACTGTTTATCTGCTCCGTTACAGACAAAAATACTGTCACCGCTGCTAAACACAAGATCAAAGCGGGAGAGCTGTAAATAGGGAACATTTCAAATTTCACTATTGTTGATGCATTTTGGCTTATAAAAATGGCTTTTGCAAGAAAGGTGATCTGGCAAGTGAGCAGCTATCCCTGTACTGTTAGTTCAAATCTGTCACTCTGTCATTATCTAAAGGGGGGAGGGGATGCCAAAAGGGCTAGTCTTGCTCATCAGTAAAGCGGAACGCATGTCCAGCCAGGAATACTTTCTCCAAAGTTTCCAAATAAAAATGCAGCTGTGGCGTGTCATCGTCCCTGTCCCACCCCCCAGCTTCCCGCCATCTTTTCCTTTTCCCACACCCAAGGTCATCATGTAAAACTAAAGCGCTCCCCTTTGCAGGGACCGGCTGAGGGGCTGCGTTAGGGCCCCGCAGTGGCTGCGCGGGTGGGGCGGGACGGGGCGCAGAGGAGCCCGGGGCTGGCAGCGGGCAGCCGGGCTGGGCCCCGTGCTGGGTCACCCGGACACCCATAATTCACCTTCCATTTTGTCAAAAGCTTCCTGATGAAAGAAACTGCCCCTGAAATCCCCCGCTGCCGCCCCCGGGGGGCGCGCGGGGCCGGGGGCGGCGGTGGCAACAGCGCGCCGAGGGCGCGGAGCCGGGCCGGCAGCGGCAGCGGCGACGGTGGCGGCCGCCGTGCCTCGGAGCCCCGCTCGCTAAAATGGCTGATCCGCGCGGCCGGCGCAGGCGGCGGCGGCAGCGAACAAAGCGGTCCGGGCCCCGCCACCGCCGCCGCCGCCGCCGCCGCCCGCTCGCCGGCCCCCCACCCCGCCCCGC